GCATAAACTTTTATAGACGTTAAAATAGGAATAAAATTTAACAAATAAAATTTAATCACAACATATAATTAGGAATCTTTTGAGACTTGCGTGATCGCAAATGCATTACCTCTGATCCGTAAGGATTATATATGCAATCTCTTTTTTTTAGACATATAACTTACATACTGAAAACTGAATCGTTATTTAATTTCACTTATAATTTATTAGTACATCATTAATTACTATTACGTTCTCTTGTTGCACCGACGGTGATCTAAATTCCGACGAAGGTTCAAGCCTTCGCATCAATAAATCAAATTTTCTACGATCACGCAAGAATTCTTACGGTAACTTAAATTTTGTTCGTCAATGATCGATAAATTTTTTCCGGAAAAGAAAAAGAAGCTTCCTACTACTCTTATTATGTCCAGATTGACTCCATTCTTAATGCTTCCCCTCAATTTCTATTTTTTCAATAGCTCAATATCATAAGCATAATATAAATAGCTAAGCATGAAGCACGTAGTCTGAACAATACGTAGAAAGAAAAATATAACAAAAGTATAAAAGCATAAAGAGGTATTTAGGATAATCTTTCTTTAACACAAAAGAAAAGTGGGAAAGAAAAATGAAAAAGACAGAAAGGTCTTCAAGATCTTCCTCTAAAGCATTGTCAGCATAAAATTTGTTAAGACTATTTATAATATGCTCACGCATAAAGTAATAATTTCGTTCTGCTCATGCACACAATGATATATTTTCATTTTGCATGCGTGACTAAATGGAAAATATGAAATAGTGATGAAGTAGTGCAGGAGAACGCGGAGATTCGAATGGTTTCTTAAGAACACAAATACTAAGAACAGGGATTTTAAGAATAGAAAAGTTTCTATTCTTGTGGCGAGAATCTTCGATTCTCTCTTCGACTAAAACCAGAATAACTTATTCTTAATTTGCTCGCCAATTCGACGCGCTTTGTCGGTAGTCTACTCCTTTTCTAATAGCATATACCTAACCGAAAAGTAGAACAACTGAGAACGAAGTTGGAAAGGGAGAAATCGCGCGTTGTGATTCGGCGATAACGTTACTCGGACAAAATGTATCTATCATGTAAAGAGATAATATGCAAGAAAAAAGGACCTCTATAAACGATATATCTACAATCTTTTCTCTAAATCGCACCCGAGATCGCGAAGATCTTGATTATCGGGTACCCTTAACGATATCTAAAAGCGAGTTGCGCGCAATTTTTATCAAATCACACAACATCTTAAATAATCAAATAAAGTATATCTTTCGATTGAATAATACACGTATATATGAAACTACGCTCTCGTAGATCAATGCAATTAAAACGAAGAAAAAAAACGATGTTTCATTCATTTTGAAAATCAATGATGCTCACCATCGATATAGGTCGCGTGGGCGAGTTCAGCGAATGATCTGTCCTCCCGTGATAAACGCCGCAGGCAAATAAGGATTCCCTGTACACAAATGATCACGATACGACAAGGGAGACATGGATACGAGAACTTTTAACCTCGGTACGACGAGCGAGAGAAAACATACGTGTATAAATACATACACACATGCTAGCGGACAATTTTTTTTTTTCGCGGCGAAATAAAGATCTCGTCCGACATAAGAAGGGTACAAGGAGGAAACACCGTCGTGGTGGCCGTACACGTCCGTTCACCAAGGTGGTAACTCTCTTATCGTCCACCTACCGAGAGTTTATGGTATACATCTTGTATACATCTCACACGCGTAAAGAGTTAAAACCAGAAATCCGAGCTGGAATAGTATTTCAATTCGATTGCGGTCTAATAAAACATTTAATAATTGTTTTGCTGCAGATTTTTTTTATCGATGAAGAAAATTGAAACTGCTTAAATTATAGTTTCTTTGGTTACACAATTATGGTTCTTCCATAATTATTTTTTTGCAACAAGACATGCATCGTCGAGGGAATCTCGTTCCATACATTTTAAAATGAGCGAAAAAATGTGTCTTTCTGGTGGAGAATCAAATCATTTTCTCGTCCCCTTTCATCGCGAGAGATAACGAGTCAGGATATCACCTTGATGATGCGGTAATACCGTACGGATACACGCGAAATACTTTATTGCCTGACACGATATGATCGGGCTCGTTATCTTTAATAAGATCGACTCACATAAAATCGCGGAGAATATAATAACGGAGTGTAGGGCAAAAACGTCGGGGGCTTCCTGCCATTGGACAATGTAAGCCTTGTGGGTGGATGCGTGACGCATCGCCATTTGAGATCCACTGACATCAATGTGTTCCTCCGTCGTGCAAGAAGTAAGATGCGAAATTTAACCCTTGTCAGGATCATTTCGTGCAAGTTTTAATGCCGGCGGCGTATTAACTCGAGATTCGCGCCTTAATTAAAGTTCCGTTTAAATAGTCCGACTCCACGTTTCACGTAGAATCGCAACGGCCGGCCGCGGCCTGCCTGTCCACTATTGATGCATGGGACTTAAATATTTTTTAATTGTTTATTAACAAATGATACTCGCCTCGTCAAATCATGAGTTGACTAACGACAGATAACTATTGTTTCTCTTATTGTCAGATGGACGTGTAAAATTACATAGTAAAATTAAACAAATATATATCTTTATAGTTTTAGTAAAACTTGGATAGGATATTCTGCATATATTCTAAGGTGTCCCAATTAAAATGAAATAAAAATACAAATACTTTTTTCAATTATTTTATAACGAGATATAAAATGAGTGCACCATCGGTTAAAAACTATATATATATATATGCAAGCTGATACGTATAACGTTTATAGCCTTGCATTAATAATATCTCTGATCGATAAATGACCATCGCTAAGAAATGAATAATACGATAAACGAAGGATCGCGATGAGATCAACTATACGCACTCATTATTAAATTTGAGTACGCGTCGCACCATCACCGTAAATAATCGCCCACGTTCGGTGACGCGGTGGCTTATAAATTTCGCGTGGCTATTACGCGAGTCACTTAAAATGCAATGATATAAATTAAAAGATCGCCGGTATAACGATCGATCACGGACCCATTCCTCTTGCGACTTCGCGCTCTTCTCTTCTTTTTAACCTCCGTCATTTAAATGACTATCACTTTGCGATATCGTCCTTTACTTTCATTTTAATTTACGAAATATATATATTACAAAACAATTAAATCCAATCAAAATTTTGGAATGTAAAGTCAGGTGCAAATAACGAACATATTCTTCGGCTTTTTGTACGGAAATCAGCGCGGTCGTTTGAACGAGGATCAATTTTAACAAGAACATTATTCCACATCGCAAGAAGATAATCTATTTTCGTTTTACTTGCCGCTCCGCAATATTTTCAGACGTTAATAAGTACACGGATAATGTGACACACAAATACACGCATGTACATGGAACTACATGCGTATGCACATATACGTCGCAAATAGATTGAGGCCTACTCTCGCCATTGCCCGTTCGGCAGTGAACAACGACTCTTCGGTATCGCCATGGCATGAGCCGGGCCCTAATATGGAAGCCGTGCTCATTTGGTGCGTTCACGTTTTACAGCTGAAATGAATTTATGGAAAGGACACCTCTCTTCGTCCATCGGAGCGTGGAGCGGGAAAGAAAGAGCGCGACGCGGCAACGCCAACGAAACGATAAATTTACCCCTTACCAGTTCCTCTGACGCTAAATAGATGCCCGCGCTGCCGTCCTTTGACATAAACGCTCAGCATAAATTCATCAACCTTTTGACCGATGGTGTTCGTTGGTGTCTCCGCGCACAATCAGCTTTCCTCACGACGCGTCCCAGAGCGCCGCGCCGCTCGCGAGGAACACAATGCTTGGATAATGCCTTTGCAAACGGGTACGCGACAATCTCTCACAAATCGCTCAAATTTTTCTTAATATTTCCTCGATCTTTTATTTAATGAAACAAGATACAGACCAAGTTCAAAAGCAATAAAACATCCAAAAATCTAAATCTAAAGAAATCAACCAAATAGAATAATATTCACAATAAACTCTTCATCTCTGAGGAAACATGCTCTACCCTGTTATATTCTTAGATATCTAGAAATGATAGAAACTGAATGGTGCAAAAAGTGATGTCTAATACAGTATTATTGTAACCGCGATTTTACGAGAGAAGCGTAAACGCGCTTGTTGTCTTACCATATTCATCGCAATGGTAATGCAATAATTTACCTTAATAGCACAATTCAATAAAGCAATTGATTCCCAAAGGTTCGAAAAAAAGTAAGTGTCTTTATAGCCAATAATGAGCAAATGTGTATATATATAGAGCTCTTCTTCAACGAGTAAAGATTTTAACTGATTCAGCATGAGAGATTATCGCCGGTCCTGGCAAACGCTGACAAACGATTTAAAGCTGGACGAGTTTGATGACGATAGAGTGAAACGCCAACCGGCTCGGACAGATTCGTGACAGAGCGGCGCGTAGGTGTCGACTGTGATAATGGAGTGAAAAATGAGCATCGTGAGGAAACGGACGTACGATAATTCATTCGACACGGTAAACGAGCTGAGAGCATGGCGTAATTAATTGCGTTCGCGCTTTGCGCGCATCGTGCGATGGCGTACGTCTAGTTGTAGTAAATTTGCGCGATGGAAATACTTGACAAGGCAACGTCCGTTTGAATGTGCCTGCTGTCGTGAAAACTCAAGTTTCGGTATACAGTCGACGTGCAAATTTGAAATGAACCATGGTTCATGTATGAAGCCATCAGGCGTTAAATTATTATATATATCAATATATAGAGAGAGAGATTACATATTTTTCAAATTTTATCAAAATAAGGCTATATATATGTATATTAAAAATAAATAAGAAACACAATCATATTGAATTTTTAAAATTTCTCAAATTTGCTTTGTCTTTTCAATTTCCCTTGCATAAGAATTAAATTCGACCCTCTAATTTATATAAAGGAATAAAAAAGTAAGAAAATTTGACTTTTTTTTATTTGCAGGTAGCAGAGAGGCGGCTTTCACGTACGCGATAAGCTCGGCCGGCGTCACGTACGCGGTGACCGCAGCTTGCAGCCGTGGCAACATCACAGCTTGCGGTTGTGAACCGGCTGTAAGGTAGCTATAAATCCCGCGGCATTTCGCGCACAGCACGCAACGTGTTAATTATTATCGATTAATATCGCGTTTTTGTAGGACGAGGAAGGAATTACCGCCGAACGGTTGGGAGTGGGGCGGCTGCAGCGCCGACGTCACGTACGGGATGAGGTAATTAAGCTGATAGTTAATTAATTTGCACTATCAGTTCTCGTAGCTTCTTACGTCAGCTTGCTCGCGACGACAGCACGGATACGTCACAAGTACGGCGAACGCTAAAATACGCACAAATTTTAATATTACAATTTAATGTTAGGTTCGCGCGTAGGTTTCTGGATGCGAGAGAGATCGAAGGTGACGCTCGGAGCCTGATGAACCTTCACAATAATAAAGCCGGAAGAAAGGTAAGCGCATTAATTAATAGTATCGTTCTTCGTGCATTTTTATCTTCATGATTATTGTAGAAAAAAAAGATGATAACTTTCTTATGAGAAAAGCCCAGACGCGGGGCTTCACAGGTCATAAAATATGCGTCAGCAGAAAGTCACACTAGGTAATGAGCACCATAATTGCCGTGAAGCAATACTAATTACTGTAACTCGTAAGAGAAATCGTTTAACGCGAAGATTAAGCTCGCCGACATTTGACGACGGCACGGCACTTCGCCATTTCTCAATCACCATGCCGTGCGATTATACATATTACATGAGATTCTACGATTATATAATAGAGTATATTGTACAAAAGGTATGCAATATAATTGAAGAGGTCACACTGCCGTTCCCCTAAAATTTAATTTGCTTCGTATGTCTAAATATTTACGCTTGCAAACTGATCGCGTGCTACGAAGCTACTCAAGCTACTGATTTCCTGAAGATACAGTCACTCTTTTGTATTTTTAAACTGTCGGAACAACACTTGCCTATTCTTGACATTCTTTTTCTATCACTCTTATTGCAATGATATGCGAAATATTTTATCTCATTCGTGTTCTCATTCTACATATGATTATGTCGTAACGTGGCTGTGAAAAATTAGTAAACGAGCAATATATTGCTATAATATTATGGAGATAATATATACTAAGGATAGGGATGTCAAGAATGTTGTGCGTGTCAGCCCGTTAATTTTGTAATATTTCGTATTGGAAAATCGTTATAGAAATTCAACCTGACATGTTAACTAGTGCGAAGACCGTGGGTAACGGATTAGATCGGATAACAGGGTGATAATATCGATAATGAGGCGCGTTCATCGCTCATCAAGTCTATGCAAATCAGACATTATCAATTTTGATTTATCGCCCAATAACCTACGCGGGAAGCCAATTATACCGAAGAAGACAATGTCGTTCTGCGATTCGCGTAGACGGTTACACTCGCTTTCCGTATCTAGATGTCTTAATGTTCTGTCTATGGTAATGTCCAATTTTTATTTTGAGAGAAAAAAAGAAAGAGGTGGAGACAGAAGGGAAGGGAAAGAAGAGAAGAGAGCAGGAGAATGGCAAAAAATTACTGCTGCACGTTGAGAATTAAAATTATTCTCCCCGATCTAATCTACGACCCTTTTTTTTATATCATTATGCTCGCGCAGCAAGGTTGATGATCGAAAACGAGGGGAAACGAGTGTGAGAAACAATTGCGGTATGCCCGAAGGTGAGGCGCGGCGGCGAGGGCGGCGCGCCTTAATTGGGGAAAGTTCGTCCCGAGCTTTCGTCTACCTCGATTGGCCCTTATTACAAGCGGGCAATAAAAACTCGCTGTTGATCTGCGTACGTGTACGTATACGCGCGCGTACGTGTATTCCCGGAGGTAATGATTTATTCTTAACGTTGATCGCCCCGGCGCGCCACATATTTTATGCCTCGAGGATTTTTTTAAACCTCCTCCGTATGTGGCACCGGCCGCGGTGCGCTCGGAATAATTCGAAATGTTAAACCAGTTTCATGTGCGTACGGCGTCGTGTCCGCGTCGTCCGCGGCCGGCGCACAATGAAGGGTCCCCATCGGGAATCGAGCGTGCGTAGGATTTTGCAGATGAACATTCGATACGATTACAACCGTTTAAGATCACCCTCGAGTTAATCGAAATGCATCTCCCGCGCCAGTGGCGTGGCGACGCGAAATCCGCGCGCTGCAATTATTTCAAACGAACATCGGAATATTCGGAATTGTTCGCAAACGCGAGAACGAGTGCGAGTGGCTTGCAACAATTCGAATAGTCGTGCAAATCTATGAAGAGTAGTACACAAACGAATTCTCTTATTCTTAACATCGGGGTTAAAAAATTTAACACTTTAATTTCTAATACTTAATTTCCACTACGTGAAATGAAGATGCTTTGGCTATACCCAAAATGACTGTAACAAATAATCATATATATAACATTTCCATTTTACGCATGACCAAGTGAAAAATATAAATCAGCGAAATGGTAAAAGAAAGCTAGGACAGTAAAAGAAAGTTAAGAACACGGAAATTAAGAAGAATGAGGAGATTGTGTATTTAATGGTAGAGTAATAATCTGACAAAACCCAGGTTTGATTCCCAACAGATTAAAAAAAATTTGAATGAAAACATTAATCTAACTATGATTAGAACAGCCAAATGAGAATTAATTTAAAAAATTATACATGTATAAAGCGACGTACAGTACCTCCCTATATTATAGGAATAGATATCCCATAATAAAAATCTTTTTAAAAATACTAGGAATATAAAAGTGCTAAGACTTGAAACGCTAATTATAAGAACAAAAAGATTTAATTATTTAATTATAATTATTTTAACTTGTATTATGTATATAACGTGCATTACGCGTACAATCATAGGTTTTTTTACACTTCTGAATGTGATAAAAAATATTTTTAAAAATATTGCACACAAGGTGGCTAAAGCAATTGTATTATGTGCAATATTATGACAGTCGAAGCTCTACGCCATTGATCTCTTCGTAATGGATCCGTGTGTATCTTTTGAAAATGATTCAAGCATCGGGCGACGCATTCATTCTCATCGGGCGCATTGTAAGTTTTTGTTTTCGTTCTCGTTCTCGTTCTCCGACCAAAAAGGCTCCGGTCGCATGTGTAGATTTGAAATTTGCATAGGATACGCGTGTATAATGCAAGGAACAAATCGATGTACGTTTTATTAAGCGCACGGGTGTAAGCTGCAATCTGTTTCGATATGATATATTAACGCATTTCGATATTCTATACAAGTCTCTGTCATATATTTGGACTTGTGAAATCAATACGAAGAATAGTAGAGATCTTTCTTGCTGAAGAAAACAAATTACTCTATGTAATCTGAATAAGGTTTTATTCTTTAATATTGTACTGCATCTCGTTCGAAATTAATTAATATAAAATTGAATATCAACTGTCAGACGATAATGAAAAGAATGTGTAAAACCGCGTATAATTATATTATTTGTAATGTTTTATCTTTTCAGATAGTTAAGGCTCTTTTGCAAACGGAATGCAAGTGTCACGGTGTATCTGGATCTTGCACTGTGAGAACGTGTTGGCGAACGTTGCCCAGTTTTCGTCAGATCGGCGATGCGCTTATGAAAAAATATTACAGGGCTAGACCCGTTATCGCCATTACACCGCCTCCCCCACCCACAGTTCAGGTAATTTCTTCTATGAGTGTCTGTTACGATTATTTAAAATACGATACGCTCATTATATAAATCAGACATTCAATGATCGTTTGGTTTATAACAGTGCTCCCGTTGCCATTTTCGAAATTAAAAACAAATCATTTTACGTGGCTCATAACTTTCAGACACTGGACGCAATGTCGCATTCAATGTTGCCGGAAATGGTGCCCATATTGGGAAACGACGCCAAAACTCAGGGCAAGCCGAACGATTTCGCCAAGCCGCGGCACAATCGACAGCCGCTGTTGAAGAAAACCGGCAAGTCCAGGAGGCCGCATTTGGTCCTGAAAAGGACGAAGGTCACCGGTGGACCGAGTATAAGCCTGAAGAGAATTCCAAAAAGGAGCGAGCTAGTTTTTCTTCAACCCTCCCCCAATTACTGTGAGCCAGATTTGACGCAAGGCAGCCTCGGCACGCAGGGCAGATATTGCAATCGTACTAGCAAAGGTGAGAGAAAGTTTGCCGCATCGGATCTTTGATGTAATGTATTGTTATTATCTCGATATTTAATTTAATTATCGAATAATGAGACTTGAAAATTAATTCTTCGATAATTCGTCGATAAGACCGTTTCTTTTTCTCGCGCTCACGAGAATATTTGTTTTTGTTTTTTTTTAGGAACCGATGGATGCGATTTAATGTGCTGCGGTCGTGGCTACAACACACATCAATTCACGAGAACCTGGCAGTGCAGATGCAAGTTTCACTGGTGCTGCCGCGTACACTGCGAGACTTGCATGGAGCGTACTGAGGAATACACATGCAAATAATACTGTCGTCGACGTACAACGTGTATATAGATTTGCGAAATAGTACATGTAATTATAAACGGTAGACCTTATCTCCACGAACGGAAGAAACGACATGACGCACGTGAAACGTTAACATCATACGTCATTGCGAAAGCAAAACTATACAGGGGTATCATAATTTTCATAATTATATTGTACAATGTCTCTCTCGATAATGTTGAAGTCGATAGGGGAATATCTTTGTAATTTTTTCGGGCCCTTTAAAAATTTCGGGTCGCATGTAGAGTTTTATGATATTTAAACATTGGATATATTGAAGTGATCAAAGCCTAAAATGTAAAAGCGTAAAAATGGGGCGCGTAAATATCGTCCTATTACGCTAACTTCGAATCCTGAGAGCATCGCACCCTATTTCACCTCGCTATTACTTTCTATTCTGCATTTAGGGACGGGATTAAATTTAATACGTATTTATGAAACTTTTAGTCAATTCAATGTCTAAATATCGTTTCATCAGGTAATATAAGATAATTAAAAAAAAAGTAATATCGAGTTTTGTAATAATTATAGATGCATTTCAGGTAACTGTAAGAAACGTTATCCAATCAAGTACCCAACAATTAATGTCGATATTATCCGAAATGTATTTGAACCTTTTATACGTAATATCTCGATACCGTCTAGAACGTATTCAAATCTTTCGAAAACGTACTGATATTGTCCCATCAAGTATATAATATCAGCGTCTCAGCTCGATACCCACATATATATGCACCTTTCTCCGACAATATAAATTATTTATCATTAGAAGTAAGTAGTGTAATGCGGAAACTATCGTATAACAAATAAAATTCTGTAACATTTACGAGTCTTTTTATTTCGATATGCTTGTAACATTTGTTTCTCGCTACTTACTCAATCGTAATCGGCATTCTTTGCTTTTAAATAATAAAATACTTTCTATCTTTCATATAGAATAATAAATCTTTTAAAATCTGCCAAAAAATGAGAAACTTTTGTAGTATACTGACACAACGTGAATAGTATTTTAGTTCGTCCTTGATCAAAGCAATTTTTTTATAGTGTAATTTAGTCAGAATTATTTTCATAATCTTATCCAAAAAATTGTAGAATTATTAAAAATAAAACCAACAGTTTTATTTTATCATTTCCGATTTCAAATTGTTCGAATCATTAAGCATATTCTAACTAAAAAAAAATACTTTTTACTTGTCTCTTTACTTATTCTTTATATAATAAAGAGATTTGCAGTACGTTTCAAAGAGTTTGTGCTTTTTGTAATTATCATTTAATTATGTACATAAAAATGTGACTCAAACACGTGATCTGGCTATAAATGCAGATCAATCAAGAACGCATCGATAATTGCAATAAGCTCTGTTCTATGAGCTCTGTGCGTGTGTATTTTTGCACGCACAACGAATCAATATTACATATCATTCATTTGCTTCAACAATGACATAATAAAAAAATATAACGTTTCCCAGAAAATAAATTTGAATGTTTAAGTCATTAAAATTGTTTAATATTATTTTTTTAATGTAATTTTAATGTAACAATTGATTGTAGAGGAACAAAAGTGTCTATAGCTATATATCAGCCGCTCTTCGTTCAGTGCGTTAAATTCTCACTAAGTATTCTTTTGCAAACAATTAAAAAATGGCAACTTTTGAGTAGTGTCGTTGCTGTAGCAAATAAGCGATACATTCCAGGCCAATCTATCTATTTCAAGGACCTGCTAAATGTATCTCACTTCATACAAATCCATTAACGTTACAATAGAGAAATCCGACTCACCGATACGATGCCCTGTCAATAATGCACCTGCCAATGAACCTGACGCCTCCCAAAATCCTAGGCCTCGTCGGATCCTCGTCTCAAGTCTCGTCGCCGCACCCTCACGAAACTATTCATACAAAATCCATTAGTCTCGCCGTAAGTTAATACAATAGAGAAATTTACTCATCGTTACGATGCCCTGTCAACACACCTGCCAATGAACCTGACGCCTCCCAGAAGTCCCAGGCCTCGTCCTCGTCTCAAGTCCCGTCGCCGCACACTCGCGAAACGCGCAACACTCGCGGAAACGCGACCGAGAGCGAACCAATTGTCCACTATACGACGATCGCGACATATTATCCGGCACTCCGGCACTCCCGCGAGACGAAACGATCCGACGTGTCACGGCGTTCTTCCATCGTTCAAACTCCGGCTACGCGCCCGAGACATTCGATCGACGCCAACTTCATACCGACGCCGCGCGACGGCTGTACAACGCGAGTCGAATCAGAAGCCAAATGAACCAAATTGAATCGAGCGGACCGTCCGAAAATGTACTCGAGACACGCTTACGCGACATAACTCGACGTAACTAAATGACGCGAGATGCAGACGCGATTAAACGGTCGACGCATCACTGCGCTCGGTTACTTATCGCACGATCTCACGTACTTCGTCACGTAAATCGCGCGACCCGATGCAGAGAGAAACCTGAGAGAGGCCATCCCGGCCTTTTTCGTGTGTTACTGTGTTGCATTTTCCGACGCGCCGCCTGAGAAAGTGCAACTCAACTACGTCGTATCGCTCGGTAACCGCACATGGTTTGCGTCCGTGCTAATGGTTCGTGTCCGAACTAGCCAGCTGGAGGGGATATTCTGGCCGCGGCGGCCGCGCTTCCATCTTGCGTATTCCAATTAATAACGAATTACGATAATTAAAATTACAAAATTAAGATTACATTCTTCAAAATTATTACGAATTTTGTATCTCATAATTTTGAAAAATATAATCGTAATTTTATAATTTTAATTTTCAGATAAATGTCAAATTTTGCAAGCAAGAAGCTATTATTTGAGCGTTGATTCAAACCTTCACATTTATGTGAAATTTATAATAATTAACGATAATTTTTAAAATGTGAAATTCTATAGATAAAGAATAAACACCGTTATGATCTTAATCGTCTTCTGTTGATTTCGTATAATATATCCGGCATTAGTATCATACAGTTTCAAATTTATTACACGTTTCCTTATAATTCCTTATTACAATAATTTTTTTATAAATAATGTTACATATGGAGGGGTAAAAGCCATAGTGGTGTAAGTCAAATTTTTTAAAATATATTTTTTTTTACCTAACGCGTTATTTCTGCTTACCCGAATTTATTAGTTTATTTAGTTTTATTATTATTAGTTTATTTTATCAATATTAATTAGTCGCAACCGCGATACCCGAAATTAAAGAAGTAAAGATTTTTAAAGGGAATTTAAAAAATTTTAAGTTCGCGATTAATTGAGATTAAGCTGGAGACGTCACTTTCCCGTCTCCGATTACGCGTTCCCATGTGTAAAAAATATTACCCTCCTTATATATGCATTATACACTAAACTGGTGGTGTTCAACACCAACCTACCTTGTGTAGATCTTCTCTCCTTTGACCAGTTTGACCATACCATTTCATGGCCAAATCCATTCTGGCAAAGCCAGAAACAAGAAGAAGAAATACACCTTCTGTTGCCGCCTAATCATAGACGGCAAATGAGCATAATGATTTTACGCTTTTTCCCACGATGCGCGAAACACGACCGCGTCGCGAAGGACCATTTGTAACAAAATTAAATTAAGTAATTTGAAAATTACTAGCTTTCAAAATCTACTTAATATCGTACAAACTATAATTTACGCAAGTGATCATTTTCTCGATTAAGAACAAAAAAGATTTTAATTAGTTAGGAGCTGTTAATTTGGAAAAAACCCATTTTAATCAACCGCGTATGTAATCCGAATAAATTCGACTACATTTTACGAATAATAGCAACTTTAATTTAAATCTGATATAAGCATGCAGGACATAAATAAAAATGTAAAATGAATAACAATATTGACTAACGCAAACTGAAAAAATCTAAGGCCCATTTTTTTTCGATATCGTTTCGCATATATCGTGTCTCACCTCAAAAGGATGAAAAATAAGGAATTAATGACGTGAGATCCGAAAGAGATAATCAAGTTCCTGCACAATATGGAGCTAATGTGAACACTTTATGCACTCGAGCAAACAATTTGAATTTTGATAGTTACATCTTATTACGATAATTATACTACTACTTAAAAATCAAGTATTTATATTAACGCAAAATTAAGTAATCAAGTTGAAAATAATTGTTACAAAAAATTATCTATTTTGCAAAACATCATTTATCAGATCTCACGTCATATCGCTTTAACTATAGTATAAAAACCAGTTATCAATACATATATGAATAGACTGTGAAAGCTTAGGCTAAAATTGGTGCGTTATAGGAACAAATAATTTTAAATAATGATCGTGAACAAACACAATTTTGTTAAATGGCTTACGTAAAAAATATATTAAATAGATTGTATATACATAACAATAAATGATTAAAATAGTGCAAAGTACTTTTTATCTTCACTAGACACTACAGACGCGCGCTTTGCGCGCGCTATTTATAGCTTTAACATTATGCTATTACTATTACACTATTAACCCTTGATACACACAACTGTCAAAATATACAATGACAGCTGCAAATGAAGTAAGCGCAGCAAGAGAACCAATCGGCATCGCGGAAAAGTGACAACAATACCTACGACATGCCCTTTTTAGAAGAAGAAGAAAGAAGAAATCGTGATATATGCAAGCTAAAAGCATCTCTAAGCGTATTATATATTGCATTCTTGCACCAATTTATGTAACACTTAATCCTGAAAGATATTTGGGATAGAATTTACAATGACAAAATGTACGACAAATCAATTTATGTGATTTATCCAAGATTAAATGTTAAATCCTAATCTGACCCAGTCATACCATTTTAAGACAACGAATCTATGAAACGTAATATATGTAATAATTTATTGTGATAACTTGACACCGCAATATATTTGACGTAATTGTCATAAATTCATTACCTCAATTATGAAATTTTAATCATCACTCACCGACCGATGCGCAACAGCGGAGTTATTCTGCAACGTCGCTACGATGATTCTGTAACAAAGAAATGTAGAATCCGAATTAAAGCAGGGTGCAAGAAAGAGAGACAGTCAATATTTCAAAAAATGATTACTATATAAACACTAAATTTTATATTATTGTTTATTAAGCAAATTTAATGAAATAATTTTGTAATTTCTTAAGAATACTCTATCCATTGAACATAAGCTTCTATAGAATTTCTAAAATAAAACTATTTTTCTCTAACTTTTATTTTCTGAATAACTATCCGGTTAAAAAGTAAATGACCCATCAGTATAAGATATAATATGTGTATATGTATAAATAAATTATATTTACCGCTTGTTGCTCCGCCGGCGCCTGATGCCTCCTCCTAGGCCTCCACCTCCTCTCAGGCTGCTCGGGATGTCAGTTACTGTTTCCTCGATGCGAAGATACTCCTTCCTGCGTGGATATTTTCTGTAACATAAAAATAATCGAATCGACTAAATAATTGTCACGCACATCGAACATCTTATTCGTTATTACGATTAATGTTTTCCTAAATTACATCTTCGAAAAAAGTCTCTACGTTAGAATCAACTTGAATCAAATTTTTGGATTTATTTTTTTTTTACTAATTTATTTTCCAAAACATGGTTTAATGTAGCAACTAAATAAAAACAAACAAAAAAAAGATTCTATAATATCTTTAGAAAAAATAAAAAATAACACTTACCAGAAGTGTTAAGTACGCCGATGCCCGATGCCTCTCCTAGGCCTCCACCTCCTCTCAGGCTGCTCGAGATGTCCATCGTGTACCCTCGATGCGAAGCTGATGGTCCTTCCAGCGTGGATATTTTCTGTAACATAAAAATAATCGAATCGATTAAATAATTGTCACGCGCATCGAACATCTTATTCATTATTTAGATTAATGTTTTCTTAAATTACTTCTCCAAAAAAGATCTCTACGTTAGAATCAACTTGAATCAAATTTTTCAAATTATTCCTTTTTACTAATTTATATTTCAAAACACGGTATAATGTAGCAACTAAATAAGGATAAACGAAAAAAGGAATTCTATAATATTTTTAGAAAAAATAAAAAGTAACACTTACCAGAAGTGTTGGTACGTTGATGCCCGATGCCTATCCTAGGCCTCCTCCTCCTCTCAGGCTGCTCGGAATGTCAGCTACGCAGCATTCCCTCGCTGCTCCGATGTCACGTTCAACGTCGTTATTTTCTGAAATATTCAAATGAACGATTCGATTAAATAAAGACAGAAGAGATAGAAAATTTTTGGACATAAGTAACATAGTACGTAAAAATCAATTACACTCACCACTTTCTTTCAGGCTGCTCTGGCCGCAAAATACACCTCCACCTTCGGGTCAAATAGAAGTCTCGAGCCACATTGAAACTCGTGGCAATGCAGTGTGACTTCATCCATTAAGCAAGAAAAATTAAGAAGCCATTTCGGCCATATTGCATTAATTTTACGACGTTGTTGCAAAATAGTCGAAATGTTTCTTGACCTTTCTCGCTTAATAGAAATGTAATTGCTAAAAGGAATTAAAAATTATTCTCTACCTTTTTTTTTTTTTTTTTTTAACGTGGTGGAAATCTTCGAAAGACTCCCCCGCCCTGAGGAAGGGAGGGAGAGTGTCGGATTCTACGCGCACGCGTACCACCGTTACGAGGGGCGCTTCAGAAGACCGAAATCCCCTGAGCCTCCCTCAGCGTGGCATCGCGCGCCCATAGCCTACCGACTAAAACCACCACGAGCGACCCTGATCTAACTTTCTAAGGGTGGTGGGTGTCGATCCGCAGACACACGCACCGCGCGACTCTACGCCCTATAATCCACCAGTGATCTCGCAGGGTTGGGTGGGTGTCGATCCGCAGACACAAGCGCCGCGCGACTCTACGCCCTATAATCCACCCGTGATCTCGCAGGGTTGGGTGGGTGTCGATCCGCAGACACAAGCGCCGCGCGGCTCTACGCCCTA